ATCACATGGTCAATTCCATCCCCTTCATTTGTACAGAGAACATAAATAACAGAACAGGCCGCAATTATTGATTTTCATCACCGTCTCAGTTGAGAGAGTTGTCTCCAACAATTTACACAGGTAATATTATTGACTGAAGTTAATTGGGGACTTGATATTATTCTTTTAAGGCTGTGAATCTAACGGAGATATTAACCATCCAAAAAGATTCAAGATATATATATGTCTTTATATTTTTTGGGACTGATCTTTCACCATGCATGATTGCAAGTGCAATGTTTTTGGAGCATAACATAACCTTTGTAGCATTCACGTCCACATGCATGCATGCGTGTGCGAGAAAATGAAAGAGACAGCGAACAAAGGGTACTGCGTTTTGATAAGGTTAATGAATCATCTGATCCTTTTTTTTTTTTTTTAAGTTAATACTTAATAATTGTCGCTTCCTAAGATGCCATAATCCATGCTAATCTGATGGTAAATTCTACTAGTAAATTAAGAATCCTTAATCACTTGCGGAAAGAAGCCAGAAACTCTGAGACATCATATCATGCAAAGAGAGAGCCCTGATTTTAAATATTTTCTGTTCTTCTTGTCTTTGATTTAAATCACAACTTACGCTTACATGTAATTTGATTAATTAAGGTTATTGACCATGTTTTTTGTGTCGACATGAGAATAACATGTTAATGTGATCGACCAAAGTCGTGTTTATCCCTTTATGAAGGAAAATAACTTGGAAACTGACATCATCTCAACTTCTTCTTTTTCTCTGTGACAGATGATGTGTTGTCCACTGCATCATTTTCCTCATTCCATTCCAATATGACTTCATTTTCCTCTTTTTGTGTTGTTAACAGCGTAAAGTTCATGTAGAACTTGATTACATTTGGCCAGCGAGGCAACATGTGGAGAAGACAAAAAAAGAAACACAATTGGGTAAAATGCAAAATATTTTTTAATTTACGCAAAAAAATAATCTTTTTTTTCTAAATCAAGGTTGGCTTGGATGGTTTTTTTTTTTCTTTTTTCAAGAGTTTGTTTAAAATTTTATTGTGATTGACTATAGTTATTTTTCACTCCCAAAATTTTTTTTTTTTAAAAATCCCCTTCCCTTGCTCCCATTACCGACAACCACCTTCGCTACCGATACTATATTTGATGTATTTTTATTTCTTTTGTAGCTTTTTAGAACTTGTTAAGTGTTTTAACGAGTTACTATAGATGGTGTTTTAGAAAAAAGAAAAAAAATAATAATGACCTCTTTAAAACACTCCAAAAACAAAAAAAGGAGTACCAAACCGTCCAAATATCCCATTGCTCACTGCAAAATCCCATCTTTTTGCAAGACTCCAATTTTCCTGGTTCCTAGCTACAAGATGTTGGAATCCACATCAGATATTACCAGCAAGAAAAGAACTCATGCCCATAAAATAAATCTCTTTAGTTTTGCTTCTGCAACTTATAATTTGCACAAATCTTGAATTTCAGACTATCTTAATATCTATCCGGACGTCACAATACATATATAGGAGAAAGATAAGCTCAACACGGGTCAACTCAAAATTAGTTTGGGATTTGGACACATCCGAGAATGATTCAACTTTTTGATATTAACTCATCAGCACATGAAGGGTTCTCATATGATGATATGACAAACCCTACAATTATTAAGATACGTTCCCACCTGTAAGGAGACATCTCATTTCCGTATAACCTAATACGGAGATACAAACAAAGTACGTACAAATCTACTGTTTGGATGTCACACATAAATGTGTATATATACATATATATATATATATGTAAACCCTTAACCCACATATTAGAAAAGAAAAAAAATTCAACTTTGAATAATAAAAGAAATATAATACAGTGGAAAAGACTTAAAGAGAATAATAGGCTTAGGGAATCTTCAAAATAAAATGGGACCGACATAACAAACTTATAGAAACCCGGCGTTGAAAGGCTACGCCCACCGTCTAATAGCTACTGGTTTTTTAATCAACTTGTTCGTGGACCCTAATCACCAAGGACTTGTTCCGTACAAATCAACCCCATATTCTATCTATCATTTCATGTTAATCTCGATTACACAGTAATACTACTATAAATGATTAAGAGTAATGCAAATTTTAGATATTCAAAATTTATGTCTAGTACTATTTTGGGATTTTAAAATTTAAATTTAATTAATGGATACTTATTAAAAGAATAAAATTATTCAAAAGTCTTGAGAAATGACACGTGCCAATTTATTGAAAATTTTCTAGAGCTTATCAAGGACCGGTAGATAGTATATAGTGTATAATATATAAGTACATGATATGTCAATGATTGGTGGATAGTAATATCATGGATTGCTATTTTTAGGAGTTTTTATAAAAAAAAACGTACTGTAATGATTTTATGAATGTGAAATAAAAATTGATTGAAAAATATGTTCACAAAAAATATAGAAGCTTTTCTGCAAAAAATTGCAATCTAGACAAAGTTCTATGTTTTTAAGATTAGAGTTAATATTGGTACTTGGAGTAAAATTGAAAAACCTCTGGAAAATATACCTTGTTCGGGAACTAACAAACCAATAATATGAGAGAACTCACCAGAATAACAGTAAAAAGTTGTTGGAAAGCTACAACACGCAGTGATATGACTTCTTGAGGATAAAGTTGATTTAACTAAACAAGAGGGAAAAGAGGATAAGCTCCACCACTTTTGTTTTAAGTTTAACCAAATCATGGACGTGATGTGAAAATATACTACTCGTAATTACTGGCTCTCTCTCTCTCTCTCTCTTTCTGTGGGATATCATAATACATCTTCTTCTTCTTGAATAACAAATGGCATAATATTCCATTGTGGATACTTTTTTGTTATAATCACTGAAGTACTTCTTGTAATATGATATATATGAAATAAAAAAATTATTAACAAGATAAAAAGATCTGTTGAAAAATATATTTATGATGCAAGTAAATAATTTTTGTGCAAATAATGCTTACACAAACACATCTTATAGAATAACTCATACATTAAAGTCGGTGCCGGCAAGTGTGTTTGGATTGTAAATTATTTGAGATATTTTTAATGTAACATTTTTTGTGATGTGATGTATGTGAGAAAAAAAAAGTGATTGGGAAAATAAAAAAGTGTATTGAAAATTGTAATGATGATGTAAGCAAATATATTTGGACAAATAATCTCCTGTCCAAACACTAATATTACTAATCACTCTTTCTGAATCAACAATGCAGATCGTAATGAAGAACCTGAATAATGGGAGGAGGACATTAATTAATATAATATTTCCAGACAAAAACGTTCTTTAATGAAAATTAAGAAATTCATAACTTCTTTGAAATTGGCCATTTGTGGGGATATCCTTCATCTAGGGTGCCATCACAAGCTCAATTATATAGTTCAAAGGAAAACAAGCATAAACCCCTTTCTCTTTGGACATTTTCAGTGTTTTGGATATTGCGAAATTATTATTGTGCTACAAGATACTCAGTTGAACCTGGCCAATAAAGACAAAACAGAGATGGAAAGGACGAATCAAATCAAGCCAGGTAAGTTTTATGGGAAATTCTTGTTGGATGAGCTTTGTCTTCAAGTCTATCCATCCCTCATAAACATTGGCCCATGATCCCCATCCCAGTGGAACCAGATCGAGTCTCCTCCTACCTGCAAACAATTTGGGTAGTTAGATGCACGAGATCTTGTTTCATAAAAGGAAAATTCATTGAACACGCAAGTGCAAAATTCATCGAGGACTCATTTAGGGTCACGGTGCTTTTGATAAAAATGTATTTACAGGAGTTAAAAACACTTTTGAAATGTTTGGTGAGTATCATTCCACACAAAATGAGGAAGAAACTTTTAGTGTTGAAAGCATTTTTAGAAAAAAACTAAAATTTAGTGCTTTTAAAATAACTTATTTATTCCACAAAATAAAACATTAAATTTAATTATTTTATACTATATTATGAACTAAATAAAAAATAAATATATTTTAAAATTTAAAAATTACAGATTATCCAATACAATAAGTGCTTATTAAATTATGTCTCCAAATAATATACTTAGAAGCACTTAACTACTTAATAAATGCTTTTATTAAAAGCTCTATTAGATGAAATACTTTTCAATAAATTACCGTATCGCCAAACGGATCCTGATTGTGTTTGGATAGGTGATTATTTGCAATATTTTTTTGAAAAAAAATATTATAACACTTCTGTTTTGGTGCGATGTAGCTCCTTTTGTGGAAAAATCTTTTTGCATAACCGAAAATAACAAGAGTAGGAGCCCTTTGCTTTGTTACACAAAAACCAGCCCCTTTGACCGTCACATTCTAGTTATATACACATTGGTGACTAGTAATATATGGTACGTTTCTCTTTCCTATAAAATTTCCTTTTATCTTCATCTGATGCTGATAGTACCAGCTAGTGCTACCTCATCAAAATCTTCTCTATTATTTGTCGTTGCCTTTAATACTCCCAAGTGTAATTCAGATAAACGTTCCAAAACAAAGGCAAGCAGAAAGGGAGGCCATGCTTGAGAGTCAGCAGTAGCAGCAAAGATCAGGGGGGATGAACTTGCTTCTCTACACGGTCCACACTCATGTGAACCCCATCAACTTGCTCAATTTATCTTGCCCCACCTCACATACATAGCCCACAACATATACATACTTCTACTATTCAAACTATCTCCCATGGCCCCTACTACACCTACCCTCCCCCCACACCTTCCTTCTCCCTCCCCAAGAATCAATCCATGAATCTTCCTAGTTCCTTACCATCTCTTGGAGTTGACCCACAATACCACATCTCCATGTCACTATTTTCCTTATAGTAATAGCTTAATACGAGTCTGGTTTTGCTTTTAGTAGTTTATTTGATAATCAGCATATTTTATTCTACTACTAGTGCATATTTCACACACAAAAACTTTGGGCTGCTACTCCTCTATATATGTCTATATATATATAACTTCCACCTTGCATCACCAAACAACAACTTTCATACTCCTAATAGCTCTTCTGTCTCATCTCTCAAAGCATCATTATTATCTCATCCCATTCCATATATCCCTCTTAAACTTCATATTTTCTTCTAACTTCACACCAAAATCAAATCTTTAAAGAAAGAAATGGACAATAGCAGCATAGATGAGAGCACTACCAGTGAGAACTCTTTTGCATCATCAGCAGCACCAGCATCATTGTCAAATATGACTCTACCGGTGAATATCAAGTCGTCGCCAGAGCAGCAGAGCCTCTGCCGAGTTGGGAGTGGCGCAAGCAGTATGATAATCGATGCAGAAGTCGGCGTAGAAGCCGAATCCCGGAAACTTCCATCCTCAAGGTTCAAAGGGGTGGTTCCTCAGCCTAATGGCAGATGGGGTGCGCAGATTTACGAAAAGCATCAAAGGGTTTGGCTGGGAACCTTCAATGAAGAAGAGGAAGCTGCTAGAGCCTATGATATCGCGGCGCAACGCTTTCGCGGCCGCGATGCTGTCACAAACTTCAAGCCCTTGAATGAAGCTGAGGAAGATGACGTCGAAGCTGCTTTCTTGAGCTGCCATTCCAAGGCTGAAATTGTCGACATGCTTCGAAAACATACTTACAACGACGAGCTGGAGCAAAGCAAGAGGAACTATGGATTAGATGGCAATGGCAAGAAGGGCTGCAAAGGTATTGCTGGTCTACACTCGTTTGGTTCTCAGAGGACAACCAAAGCTCGTGAACAACTCTTCGAAAAGGCGGTGACTCCCAGCGATGTTGGGAAGCTGAACAGGCTAGTCATACCAAAGCAGCATGCCGAAAAGCATTTCCCTTTGCAAAGTGGGAATACTTCCAAAGGCGTGTTGCTCAACTTTGAAGATATGGGTGGAAAGGTATGGCGATTCCGATATTCCTATTGGAACAGTAGTCAGAGCTATGTCCTGACTAAAGGGTGGAGTAGGTTTGTGAAGGAGAAGAATTTGAAGGCTGGAGACATTGTCAGCTTTCAGCGATCAACCGGAGCTGATAAGCAGCTTTACATTGACTGGAAACCGAGGAATGGAGCTGATAAGCAGCTTTACATTGACTGGAAACAGAGGAATGGAGCGGCCGAGGCCGCTCCGGTGGCTGCCGGAATATCAATCCCTATTCAGCCGGTTCAAATGGTTAGATTATTTGGGGTGAATATATTTAAGGTACCATTACCAGTTAATGGTGTTGTAATGGATAGTAATAGTAGTTGTAGTGGTAAAAGAGTGAGGGGAATGGAGTTGTTGGGGTTGGAGTGTAGCAAGAAACCAAGGGCTATTGGTGCTCTGTAACTTTTTTTTTTTTTTTTCTTTCTCATGTAATTGTTTTTGTTTTTTAGGTGGGGAGGAAACTGGAAAGGGGGGTGGTGGTGTTGTTGCAAGTTGCATAGTTTCAATTGTATATTACTGTTTAGAGACCGGAGAAATCTGAAATTAGGTGCATGACATGGTGGAACAAATCAATCCAAGATACAAACGAAATGAAGATAGTGTATTGTTCAAAGTTTTGAAGTGTTTTAGTATTATATCTTACGAATTTTGTGACTTGCATTTAATTAATTACCATACTTTGGTAGGTCTTTTTGCATAGTACTTTGTTGTAGCAGTAGTATCTCTTTTGTTTCCAAAAATATCTATTATGGTCTCCAGATTCATATACCATGCGCTCCAGATGGACGTGAGAGAGACGAATAGGATAAAGCTTAAAGAAGCTCCGGCAGGAGGAGGGGGGTGGGTCATGGCGGTGGAGGATATGGCCTAAAAGTCCAAAGACAACAGATAAAACTTTTTCTGGTACTCGTCGTATATTTCTGGTGTTGTAGGTGAAGTACAATAATTGTACTCTTTTAGCTTCCTGTATACAATTGCAAGAAATGTTTCTGGCCAGGTGAGAATTAGGTATAGGGGAACGCCAAAAAATTTTAATTTCAAGTAAATTTTCTCATCCTCAAATATTGATGGATATCTCATCTTCTTGTTTTTTTTTTTTATTTTTATGTAAAACAAAAAATGCTGAAGATGAGGTTATTATTTATTGCTAATAACTTGCATCTGGATTAATGAAAAAAATACACAGTAAGTAAAGTAAATTGCATTTAATATTGCTAATTGATCACTAATCTTTCTGGATAAAAAATAAATTCTTCTAAACATCCACAGAAGTAGGTGCCAGTACTTATCTTCATGGGCTCTGATTTGTTGTTGATGGAATGGCATCCAAAGAAATCGGATCAAGGACCTATTCTGTACCAAGTCATATTCTGGTCTCATTTTCATTTCCGTGATAGGATAGTCCGTCCGTGACACATAATACATTATACATATACACCGCTATATTATCATTATGCAAGGAAAAAAAGAATCATCCTATAATTAATACGTGAAGAAGAAAGAAATCTAGAGTAGGAATGCATGAGTTAGTTCTGCATCTATCTACAGCAATTGACTGCGACTTTTCGTCTCTCCACATGGTATTTAGCTAGTCGGGGATTGGACCCAAACTGGTACAGATGTTGAAGAAGAAGTTTCCATCTACTTCATGCCAATTTTGAAGACTAATAAGGAGGAAAGAAAGAAGGGAGGCCTAGGGAGTAACAGCACATGCCATATTGCCAATTTGCCATGCCACACGTAGAATATTGAGAAACGCGTTTTTAGAAATGTGTTGTGGTACAACACATATTAATTCAATTGGTGTTTTTGTTTGTTCTAAAATTTTCTCTTGACAGCTTTTGCATATGTGAAGACTTCTCTTTTCTTTTTTTTTTTTTTATTAATTACACTTTTCAAGCAGAATCATAAGTTTCATGATATGTATGCTTGAAATTGGAGCCTCACATATAATATAACACTCACTACTAATTACTAATTAAGTCCACATTCATGCACTACTGTTTTAATGAGAAATCCCAGCTGAAATCTCCTGTCTATAACTTTGACAGATTTTAATTGTCTTCTTTGCCTTATCTTTTTTGACATGCTCAATATTCTCATTAACGTCCCATCAAATTAAATTGTAGATATATATTTTTTTTTTCTTTATGGCTGCATGTAATTAGTTTGATTTATACATGGCCATTTGACAACGTCTCTAAAATCAATGAGCTGAGATGATGAGATGCGACCCTATTTCAAACTACTCCATATTAGTCAAAGGATGCCTAATTATTCAACCCTATTAATCATAATTTATTATCGTCAAATCTCACCATTTAAACTAAACAGCTAGCAACAATCCAGGTATTAATTTGCTTTAAGATGTTGCATATGACTCTGAGAGACATAATGACCTGGAATTTTCTTCGTTTTTTTTTTTTTTCTGAAGGAATAATGACCTTGAGTTTGGAGAACCAAAAATGTCAAAACATCATGCATACTTTTAAAACTTGTATATAAATTCTGTCACAAGATACTAATGCATAGTACGAGTTCGTACCTTTCTTATAATGCAGTCAATCTTTGTTTAATTTCACGCGTTTTCTCCGAAACTTCCACAAGATCAATCCATATCTGTCCCCCAAAACCCATGTTCGTGCCCCACATAATCTGTTGCTTATGGCAATGCTTAGCTGCGAAAGTTGATCCTACTTAGGAATTGTATTTGAATAGTTTTAGTAGCATCCGTCAGTTTCGGAATAAATAATCAAATATTTACATAAAATTGTAACTCTTTAAAGATCATATGTGTAGTGTATTTGGATAGAACCTTTTTAAAAAAAAATTAATACTACTATAATTAAGAACGCGTTTGTGATACAACTAGATTGTGAGCCACTCACAAACTAATTCAGTCAATACTCCACTCAAGTTCGGCCAACATCGAACTTGAGTCGAACTTAAACCAATCAAGTCGAGTTATTGAACTTGAATCGAGTATAAAGAAACTCAACTTGTCAGCTTGCGAACCAATTTGAATATATGTGCGTGTGTGTATATATATATATAGTAAAATTACATATATATCTTTAATACTTATTAAAGAAAAATGACTATTTTATTCAGTTTTTAAAAAATAAATAATAATTTTTTAAATATTTTTTTTAAAGCTCGAGTTCAACATCAACTAGGCTTGAATTTGAATTTGATGTTGAGATCAAATTTGAGTTTTACATTGAATGCTCGTCGAGTTTGAATTCGAATTCGAACTTGGTAAAATTGAGTTAATATTGGATTCGATTAGGTCAAAACTCGACTCAACTCGAGTTGTTTGCAGTCCTAGATACAGCTACGAAAGGACTGATGAATTATTCAGATAGGTTGAACTTTTGTATTTACATAAAAAATACACAAACCTTGTATGCCTATTTATTTAATGCCTCGAAAAGTGCTCTATATTATGTCATAGTATGTTGTAACGTAGCACCTTATACATATAACTTACAAGAGTACACATCTTTTTGGTTCATTATTTGAGTAGATTACTTGCTATATATGTTAAAATTTCTTTGTGAAAAAAAAAAGCTATTTCTTTTCTAATTTGGCGCTTCGCTGTTCAAGATCTTTGTTTTCTTCCATCAAGACGAACCACCCAACAAAAGTAGTCCTTTAGATATCAACTGCGGGACAGGAGTTTTAGGAGATGATTGTCCCATTATTGTTTGATAGTTGATGGATATGCATCTGATTCATGAATCAATTGCATAAAGCTTGAATTATGTTAGGCCACCGGCAACAAATAATATTATTGATAACACAAATGTGGAGTGACAATATGAATCTGACAAGCTATCATTCAAGCAAAACCCAAATGGTTGATTGAAAATTTGAAATCCTCGTGATTTGTTACGGAATTACGTTCTATTTATCAGATACTTTGTCAAGAACATCGATTTCCCTTCTTCCACTTTTAATCACAAGTTGGGCCACGCATAGAATTTTATGACTCTCAACACAAGTTTGATCAATTGATAATAACAAATTGTTTTCTTATAAAACTGACGATTTATAAAAATTCTTGTAAACGCCTTGAGGGCATGCCTGATTTTGTTTTATATATAAAAAAAAAAGAAAAATAAACACGATAACTGAATGAAGTTGGGAATATATATATCTTTGTGGCTTCCGTAGCACCCAGAAAAAAAAATAAAAGAAGAAAAAGAAAAAAGGTTGAGAACGACTTTTGGAGGCCCGTGTGTAAGTTACTGTTGCCCAAAAGTACATGGCCATACCATACATCCCTCTCAAAACATTGACACTAGAGCCCAGATTAAGAACTTGGCGGTAGAAAGAACTACTGGGCCAGGCCGGCTTATGCCAGATCCATTTTATGCATTCTTGTACCGTGGACAAGAATGTCAAGAACAGTCTAGACAGAAAAAATATTTTTACCAAAAAAATAAAATAAAATTTGGGAGATGCATTTGTGGCAGTATTAATGTTAAACTTTTCGAGATGACATGCTAAAAATTTGATTTCCGGCAGTGATGTTGTAGCATCATTCCATTATTCTCCTAAATTGAGAATTTGATGTACTATGAAAAAAAATTCTTTCCTCAGTAGACATTCGATTGTGGAATTTGAAAAAAAAAAAACGCTTGTGAGAAAACAAAAGGAGAAGGGGAAAAACAAAAGGCAAAAAATGAAATAGAAATAGAATTAATCTTTTATAAACTATAGTGTATATCGTTTTAGATTTGAATGCATGATGCCTAATCCAAATATAATTTAAAAATTAAATTTTACATGTGTGACGTACATCTAACCGTAATAGTAATCGATGAATACATGAAAGAAATTGAAAAAGACCACCAGTAATCATTAATTGGTTTGGTCCAATTCTACATGGATCCAACTTGTAACAAAGTTGGAAGCCCCACTCTGTTAATACTCATTGAACAAGTTGAAGGCATAAGGCTTCGAACGAAGCCCAAGTAATTTTGGAGCGGCCAGTTTAACTTTAATCTCGAAGTCTTCGCTGTATCGTCCCCACCACCACCACTCCCCTGTGCCTCTCAACTTCTTTGTGTCTGAGAGATGGCATTTTTTCTGACTTCAATTTCTCATGCAGTTCCAACTCTTCAATTCTCAACAACTTGCTTCCATGGCGAACTCTGCTCCTTGTCATCCTCGTCCTCTTCTTCCTCTAGTTCTTTCATGGGGGCTCGACTAGCCTCCTTCCCTTCAACTTTCCCAGGTGTGTCTCATTCCTATGATGCTTTCACTAGCTACTTCCACCCATCCATACGTACTGCTAGCATATTTAATCCCTTTTGTTAATCATTTTCATTACTTATTTATTTTCAATCCCTTTTTTTTGGCTATGCTTCAAAGTTGCAGAATATTTAAATGTGAGTGCTATATTACCACTATGCTTCTTTTTTTTTTGGCATTTCTTGATTCTGGCTTATCTGTTGAATTTAGGTAAATCTTCAAGCTTTGGAAAGGGACTCGTTGTTTATTCAAAAAGAATTTCAGGCTTGGAGGAGGCTATTAGAATAAGAAGGTAATGCTATCTACTACTTCAGTATATTCAATTAAGTACTTTGTCTTACCTTTCGTTTGCTATGCTTCTATCGGTAGTCCTTTTTTTTTTTTCCTCCCCCGTTTTGTGATTTAATGTAGCCTAAAAAATCAACAGTAGCAATTACTTTAGCTATGGTCGCGAAATTGGAACTGAAAAAAAAGAGAGATTTTGTTATATAATTCTTTGCATCATATAGTGGATTCTAGTTATTTCCACTGCATTTGCGGCAGTGGAAATATTTCAGGTAGCAATTGGCATGACAAAAAATTGAACTTGGCATGTTGACCTAACAATAGTATGCCGCATTTTTACTCCTTTTTTGGCATCTCTATATGTCTGTTTCTTTCACAAATCTATAATCTGTATTTGTATCTTAATTTTCTTCATTCACAATGTACGCCTACTTAAAGGTGGAGCAAAAAAATGGTATTCTCTAATCTACATGGATCTATTATTGGATGTTGAATATTCAGGTTCCTGAAAGTTACCATGTGATATATAATCATAAGAACTGACCTGCTATATCTGTTGAACGACATGTTTGTTTGAGTACATTTAATATTGAAAATGATTAAAGATCTATAGATTGTTGATTTTTGCTTTGTAATGCTTCTCTGTACCTGATTGTTTAATTGTCATTTTTAATTACTTCTTGATCATTCACAAAGAGAGCGTGAGCTTAGGACTTCAACAGCTTCACAAAGAAGGCCGCCTTTGAGGCGTGGAAAGGTGTCACAACAGCTCCCTGTCCCTGATCACATACCAAAGCCTCCCTATGCAGGGACAAAAATACTGCCTGAAATTTCCAAAGAATATCAGATTCATGATGCTGAAGGAATTTTGAAAATGAGGGCTGCTTGTGAACTTGCTGCCCAAGTCCTAGATCATGCAGGAACATTGGTTAGGGTGAGAATCTACTTTTATGTATTCATCATCAAAGATAATAATTATTCTTAGCACTACATTCTCATAAGAATCGCTTGTTTGCTTTTCTCAAGTTTACATGCAGATGAAAAGTTTTATTATGATTACTCTAAGTGGTCATCGTACAGACTCACCAATAAAATCAAAACCTATTGTTTCACATACTATACCTGCCTGATTCTGAAACTTTATTTTTCCTTTGTAAAATTCCATCTAAGTCCAAAAGCAGTTGAAACATGAACTGAAAATTGGAAGCATTCTTTAATGATAAATTGCAGGTTATCGGTTTTACTTCTTTATGAATTAGTGGCTTCACATGTTTTCTAGGAGATTGAAGATCATGGAAATTGCGGTCTTTGTCAAATAGCTCCTGGACTTATGAACTTTGTATAAGCTTGTAGGTCACTAAGGAAGGAGTGGGTGGCTTTCAGTGGGACTATATAATTGTGATTGCTAGTATTGAGTGTTAATCTTCGACGATTCCCAGCTCTCTCATTTAGGAGCCTTGTAGTATTTTGAAGAACTTGCACTGGTGAACATATGTTTCAGGTCACTGCAAATTCCCCCCCCCTCCCGGCCCCCTGTTGTCCTTCTTTTGACTGGGACTGGTTCATTTCTTGCTCTTATTTTCCTCCTTTTATATATTGTGCTCCTTCCTTATATGATCATGGCATCTTGTTTATCTTTTCACTTTTTGTTACATCAGAGGGTATCACATTCTTCTTCTTCTTCTATCTTTCATGTATCAACATTATCAATGTGATTGGTATTGTACACATGCATGTTGCATTTTTGTACCAAGATTTGCTTATGTTTAGGACCTTTTTGTGTGGACAAATTAATTTGTTTTCCCTTTTATATGAACTAGCCATCTGTGACGACGAACGAAATTGATAAGGTGGTGCACCAAATGATTGTTGATGCTGGTGCTTATCCTTCACCTTTAGGGTATGGGGGCTTTCCAAAGAGTGTATGCACATCGGTCAATGAGTGTATGTGCCATGGGATACCTGATTCTCGTCAGCTACAGGTTGTGTGTTTCTTTAGTATTTACCATCATCGCTGGGAAAATTTTGGTCACTTACCTAAATGTTCTTGTATGCTATGCAGGATGGCGATATAATAAACATTGATGTGACAGTCTACTTGAATGTAAGTTGCTGAGTACTTATTATTGTCTCGAATGCTGTTATTGGGCTTTCCATTTGTTGATCAAATGATATTAGAGGGTCTTTGTCTTAAATGTTAAACAGACTAACCATTCTGCATTTCCACAAGTTCTCTCCTTACATTTATTTATGGTTAGAAATTGCTATTTCTGGTCCACAATATCAAAATAGTGCAAGTTTCGTACTGTCATCTCAATTTTTTGTAAAATTTTGGAATCGTTATCTTTACGTGATAAATCTGCTTATACAATTAAATCAAAATATTAATAGAAGACATAATAGTTTCTTTGCTTAGAACACCTAGTTAGGAGTTGCTAAGGGGACCTTTTGAAATCTGTTTTGTTTCTATGATTTGTTCTCAGTTTTCCTTAATTTTTCCTCTTTTTGGTTCCTCCACACTATATATTTTTTTTCTTTCCTCTTCATTTTTGTAATTATTTGTTTAAAGTTGTCTTGGGACCTTAGGAAAACTTATTTGGCCTCATCTCAGGGTTATCATGGGGACACTTCAAAAACTTTCTTTTGTGGCAATGTTAGTGATGCAATGAAACGGCTTGTGAAGGTATGATTTTGCATTTACTAGAAAAGAAAAGAAAAATTGCATTTCCTGAACGTTGCAATGTCAAGGATGAGAATCATGTCTTCTGTTACCTAAAGCTCACAAAACTGCTGCATCATCACTTCTCCTTAGAACTTTGTAGTACAACCTCTTGATCAGTCCCACAGATAGTTTTTATTATTATTATTTCCCTCTTTTTGCAACCTAATTTCTCCTTGTGTCAGGTGACTGAGGAGTGCTTGCATAAAGGCATTGCTGTTTGCAAGGATGGTGCTCTGTATAGGAAAATCGGGAAGCGAATCAGGTATGATTAATATCTGAAAACGTATAAACATTGAAGTACATTTGCATGTGCACCTGTTGACATTTGTCTGTATTTCTGTCTAGAAAATGAGAGCCACAATTGGATATTTTGGATCCAATAACATACTTCCTACAACATCGGACATTATTTGGAATTGTTTGGCAGTAAACACAACACTGAAGTTTTTGTGAGATTGGTTGAATCAAACCTTTGTTGTTATCCAATTTTGCCCGCTTCTTGTATGTTCATAGCTGAAAGATTTGTTTTTGCTCGGACAATCTTGTGGTGTTATGTTCAGAAATTATTTTATTTGATACTGAGGGGGTGAAAAGGAACACAATATACTTAAATATGGTGAAGATCCTCATATTGCAAGCTTTATGTTGGGGACCTTGTCAAGCTTGATTGTTAGTTCTTATAGAGGCTTTCATACTGTGCCATCATCTATCACCTTTTGTACTTTTACTATGAGTTAAACTAGAAGGTGTTCAAATATGAGCAAATCTTTCTCAAAACAAAGATGTTGTTTTAATTTAAAGTATATTTTGCCTTCTCTAAGGACTCTGTTAATTGTCGTTGCAGTGAGCATGCTGAGAAATTTGGTTACGGCGTGGTGGACCGTTTTGTTGGACATGGTGTTGGGAATGTATTTCATTCTGAACCACTTATATTTCACCACCGTGAGTAGTCCCTCATGTTAATCCTTTCAGTATAATTGTCACAGTCGCTAAGGAAAACTGCACTAGCTTCAGCCTTCACCAATGACTAGCAATGGTCTTGCTACGCTGTCATTTCAGTGAATTACATGCTGTTCTGTTAACATGATAATCATATGATATGGTGAATTCAAGATCCTCTAACATCGATGAGGTGGCACCTTTCTTCAGGTAGCACCGTGGCTATACCTCCTTAGGTGGTCTAGAACTATATTTAAAGCCAATTAATGCAGATTGGCTTAACATAGTACGTCTTAATCTACGGTTGCACTTTCCATTTGCATGTGATCTAAACTTTTCAAGTAATCTCTTTTGTCCAAACTAAATGTCTTGTTTAATCTTTCTTTGGAAAATGTCTAGGTTGCTTAAATGGTAACTCTAAACTGAGAGCTATTTCTGCCTTTGCATATTTCAAATATAGAAAGTAAGTCCTATCATTTCCTTCTTCTTTTTTAACTCTTTGATTGACATAATAATGGAGTATGTATCCATACCATTGATTTTGGAGAATCTAAGTTGTGTCAATTTGTAGGGAGACTGAGAGTCAAGCCAAGATGGTTGGCTTTATATTCTTCTAAGAGTAATTATCTTTAGAAGTTAGAATAACACCTTGACTTTTCTTTCCGCACATTATGACCTAAAAATAAAAAATAATCTTAAAACCTTAGATCTACTTTATAACTTCTAATAGGCTATGTATTTTCATTATTCTGAATGTCTTGCCTCTGAAGTATGTCTTTTTCCTATGCTGTGTCCTTGCTTTGAATGGAAACTTGTTTCTGTTATTCTGTTATTCTAGTTTTTATGCTTGGAGATGGTATAACATATAATTCAAGTTTACTGAACTTGGATTTGTCTTTTCCTTTGGATTCTACTTGTACTTTCAAAGTTATGCCAACTTTTATTTTGTTTTGGTTGTTTGCAGGCAATGATAAGCCAGGCTTCATGGTTGAGGGGCAAACATTCACAATTGGTGAGCATATTCCTCTTTAATGTAGATAATGCTTTTAAATGGCCAGTTTCTATTATTTGTCTGTCGATACATCACAAACATAGTTTTAATTTAAGAAATACTTGGGAGAGCTGGTGCATGATTGCCTTGTTAGAAAGCAATATGTACCTTCAAGTACTGGTATTCAGTTGGATGTGCTTTGACCAGTATATTGAACCTTTTCCCCCTATTGAACAAACTTGCTGTTGCTTGATTAACAACAACTACAACAACAACAACAACAACAATAATAAAATTAACTTGTTCATGGCATCGCAAATGCATGTAAAAAGTCCTGAAATCAGAGGGAGACCGTTATGGATTCATAAGGAATGATAGTGTACATCAGGTGATACCATGATGGTACTTCGCTAGGAAATTTGAAAGATCATATGCAATGCTAAACGAGGTTATTTTTGAATGAAATCCTCACTTCCTTTTGGACTTGCTGAAAGGTTTTTGGTACATTTTTGCCATAATTTCTATTACTTTGTCATCTTGGCTTATTCAGGCAAGTCCGGCACTATCTTGATATATTTTCACTTTAGATTGTGTTTTGCAGTAAAGTGAAATTTGCTTATTGAATTGAATCCTTACCTGTTATGTTTTGTAAATTTACTGCAGAACCAATTCTTACATTGGGAAGCACGGAGTGTATCACATGGGAGGATAACTGGACAACCCTGACAGCTGATGGCAGCCCTGCTGCGCAATTCGAGCACACAATTTTGATTACAAAAACTGGCGCAGAAATCTTAACAAAAGCTTAGATGAATCACTCATGATTCATTTTGCACACTTCATTTCTTCTACATGTAATGGAGGAAATAAACTCCTGCTCCTCCATTAACTTGAGATCCATGGATCTCATATACAACCCTGAGATGGCAAAAGCATTAGGCCTTGAGTGATGATCCCAGTTTTGATCACATCAACACCATTTATAGAACTCTGCTGGCAGCTAAGCAATTATCGGGACATCGTTCACCAGATATGTTGCCTGGTCAAAGTAAAGGTACAGCATTGTTACCGGCATGTCAATGGCCATTGCCGGAGCTGGTGAAATTGGGATATAAATGTTTGCAATTTGTGAGAAATTCTTAAGGCTGTTATACATGGCAACGAACAGTACATGATTTATATGTACAGAAAACTTTTCTTGTACTATTTAATCATTTGAATAATTGTAGCTCTTTAATATACATTTTAATCTGATGATCCTAACAAACATTGATGTTGCTTCTGCACAGTGCTCAAGATTTTAGCATCGATACCTAACAAATATGTCTTTTGTTGTGAAGGTTCTGATTGATATGTCTTTTGCTGCTACATTCATACTTTTCCCTCCTCCATGTTCTTCCAATTTTCTAATTATTTCCACACCTACAGCTACAGCTTTTGACTACTTTTACGAGTCCAGCCTGTGTTTCCACATTAAAAGAAAAAAAAAACTATTAAGCTATATTGTCATCATCAATAGGTACCCTTAAACCAATCAGAATTACAAGGCGTGCGTTTAATATTGGTGCATAATTTATCGGTGCAGAATCTTCCAGCTATATACCTTTCTAAATCAAGGCACATTGTCCCCTGGATGGATGTTTCTTGAACCTATACTTTGCATAGATCAACCCTAACCATTAGCATCCACTTCATCAATGGCAAGTACAAGCTCTCTCAGACCAGTTTCTTCCCTTAAACTATTCAATCTTGAATCACTTTCCAACATCGAATTCCATTATGACAAGCTTGCGTTTAAGCTTTCAAATCCACTTTTAACTAAATCTGTCCAGATCTCGACGACCCACCAAGCCTTCTCCGCCAGAAGACCCTCCAAAGATGCCTCAACAAAAGCATTCTTCTTCAACATCGGCAAACCAAAGCCAGAACCAAGTGAGTACTTCCTGTACCAATAAATCTTTTTTCGATTCGATGAGTTAGTTAGTATTTTGTCGTGAAACCATAGGAAAATGGTCCGTCAGATGCATTCTACTTTCTCCAAGCAAAAATGAATACGAGTTCTTGGAAATAAAAGATTTGCTAGGCATAGTTATATCGGTAATTTTGAGGTAGTCAGTGAAACTACTAGCTAAAATTAGTTGGATTTCATGATTCACGATGTATTATTGCTCATCACAAAATCATGTCTTTGTGATTCAGCTAAAGTTCAAGAACTATATGTGTATGAGATTAATGAAAGGGACAGGGGCAGCCCAGCATACTTGAGACTTAGCAAAAAGGACGCAAATTCTCTAGGTGATCTAGTTCCATTCAGCAATAAGCTCTACACAGGTGATTTGCAGAAGAGATTAGGCATAACATCAGGATTATGTGTGCTGATAAAACATGTTCCTGAGAAGAAAGGTGATCGTTATGAGGCTATCTACAGCTTCTATTTTGGTGACTACGGTCACATATCAGTCCAGGGGCCATATTTGACTTACGAGGACACACATCTGGCTGTGACCGCTGGATCAGGAGTATTCGAGGGGGTGCAGGGTGTGGTGAAGCTGCAGCAGATTGTGTTCCCATTTAAGCTGTTCTATACATTTTATTTAAAGGGAATTAAGGATTTGCCAGCTGAGTTGGTGGTTAAGCCAGTGTTGCCAACAGCTACTGCTGAACCATCAGCTGCTGCTAAGGCTACTGAGCCTCAGGCAACCATCCCTAACTTCACTGATTGATAGGGAGGTTGATCCAAGGAACTAGCCACAATTATTCAAGCATTAATTAGTTTGGCAGCAAGAGCTGTCCAATAAATGCTTGTACTGGTTTATCGTTTGTACTACTTAGAATGGTTTTTTTCTCTCCTACCAGCATCATTGACCATATGTCTCCCATCTTTATTGTCAGAATTGGATTTTGAAGAAATTACTGTCATATTTTTCTCTCCCTTATCATCTAGAAGAACAGCAAAACAGAAATTTGTTGACTTACCAAAAAAAAGTGGGGAAAACAAAAGAAAGAAGAAAGTCCATGAAGTAATAGGACAAAACTGGGAATAAAATGTGTATGTATAGCTGTGAGTTGAGTGCCTAACTCAAATGAAAACGAAGAAAAAGAGATAGAGAGGCCATGTTCGTAGATTCTATCATTCGATGAAATGTTTCTAAGTGAGGGTGTCTTGGTGGAGTTGTCCTTGCAATCCGCACATGCATGCATGAAAAAATAGAGAGAAATTTGCATTGGAACTATTCTTTTCCATCATGCCAGAAGGGCTTGTTAAAAGGAACAAGAGTATTGCTAGAAAACGATAATCAAAATAAAAACCCAGAACCCCTGACCACTTCTACATACAACTTGGGATCAATTCAGACTTAAATTGCAGCAAATAATCTAGATCTCCTTTTATTTTTTTTTTTAACTGGTCAAACTTGGGACAAGGAAGCCCGGCCACCACGTTGCTTCTTTGGTTAAGCTTCATAAAATGTTGGAGAAACGCCAGATATTTTTCTGTTTAAAGGTGATTACAGGCATCCCTTTTCCTTAGATGGGATTCCAACAACTATTCTTTTTGCTTGACAACTATTCAATCTAACCGTATAAAAAAGAATGAAACAGAAGAAGGAATTCTTGGACATGTTAGGCTACAGTGCTAAAGTTTCCTACAAGAGTAATTTCTTTTTTTCTTTTCTTTCTCCGATCAAAAACATTTCTCCTATTCATTACAATAAAATGTTCGCGTCTTGACAGCCCAAAGGGCCATATAATGCAGACTTTTTGTGTACTATACTGTAGTACATGCATCCCTGCAGCAAACCAAATAATTTGATTAGAACCATCATCTGAGAATTCTGATCAAATCTTGATCAGAAAAAAGTAAGTCTGAATTTATTGTCCAATAAGAAAACCTCACTCCAGAATTTGTCTGTGTGTTGAAGTTGACACACTTGCACACAAAAACAAGAAGAACAAATAAAATCAGAAGTACGGCAAATTGTCACGGCTGTTCTAACAAGCCAAGGAAACTAGTAAAAATTAGTGAACTTTAACAATGATAATGGACCAGTTTTATGCGGCCTAAGTCTCAAACCAGGGAGAAAAACGAATACCAATTACAGCTCAAAAATGGGTAAAAATGAAAGAACAGGAAACAGAAAGTTGAATGTATCAAAAAAGTAGAGCGATAATACTGATAAGACGGTGAAACTGTTGAAAAGTAAGGCATGCAGTGCAGGATATGGACCTCATCCTTGACATATACATCTGAGAGAGCAGCCATATAGTATCAGAGTGCATATGAGCCCATGCAACCACATTATTAAACTTAAAGAAGGCAAAAACAGGGCTCTGGCAACATATTACGAAATATCTGTTTGTTTCGTCCCAAAAGGTAGAAAGTTAATACTTTGGGTGAAACCCCAAAAAGAAAAACTTCCAGTGGTCCATTGTTACCTTCTGACAAAAGCCTCTATCAAAGTGTTAGTAGTGCTAGTCCAAGCTCAGCCCTCCTCAGGCCCTCAGACCAAAAGCCTCAGAAAAAACTCAGACTCAGTCTCTACTCTCCTGTCAGACTCTGAAGGCCCAAAAAAATAAAGTGGGGAAAAAAAGAAAAGAACCAAACTTTAATCAGATAATCGAACTGGCACTTCGAACATTAATGCCATGCAACTGTGCCTTTCATTATACTGTTTGTCCTCATCTTTTTCTCTCCCTTTTATTTCTCTCTTTCTCTTCTCTCAAGTCCCTCAAACACATAGATGATAGATCCGCAGACACATTCAGAAGCATAGAGCCAAATAGTCACTATTCAGACTTCAGCAGCCTACCACCACTACTACAACTAAAGGTTCACATGTAATAAATGGATGTACATTGGCAGAATCATATCCGACATTTCTATTCTATTCTTCACACATTAATCACTTCTTGATCTTTTTGATCAATACCACTTTGTCCCTTTTCAGTATTAGATCGAGTTTTGCACAGTTTGCACCCTCCTAAACTTCTCTTTGTGACCATTGAATACTCAAATCAACAACGCTAGTGTATTATGTACGTTAAGGTAGGTTTTTTAATCCTTTAACACTAATCTATTACTGAGTGTACAATTTGTTTTGAAAAACTAGGAAAAAATCCTATCATAAATTGGTCAAAATTGACAAGAGCCAATGTGCAATTTATTATTACCTACTACAAACGTGCAAATCATGTACGAAAACTGGTCAATTGACAACAAACATAAGTTAGTAGAATACTAATGTTTAGGGTACAAACTAACAAAACCCCCAATACTTTTCGAGGGTACAAAGTCTATCTAGCCCTACTTAGTAGTTGTCCTCTTCTTCTTCATCATCTTCTTCTAATTCTACTAATTCTTCAATTCCACGCAAGTCTTGACTATGTGCTGCATGGCCATCTCCAAAAGCTCTAATATGGTCTTTGAGTGATCTTTTATGCTTAAAATCAGAACCACAAATACAAAACCATAACTTCCCACAATTCTTTTCATGAGTCCTCCAGTCTCCTCTAACCGCAAATGGCTTCCCACATTTTCTGCACTGAAATGGCTTTGTCCCATGCTTTCTCTTGTAGTGTGTTTGAAGAGTCCTAAAATCCTTCAAGGGCCTTGATCTTGGATGATCTATGTTGTTCTTGCAACCCTCAGCACAACAGTAACAGGGAAGTTTAAGCATGGATGAGGCTGGCTTTGTCCCTCTTAAAGATTCTGGCCCTTTTCTGTATTGTGATCCATGCCCCCACATATGCATCTACAGAAGGATCATGAGGATAGAAAAGTTATGCAAGAGATTGATCTAAGCCCACATAAAATAATAATCATCAGCCACAAAAATCTCTAAACAAGTCTACATACTAGTGTAGCAACCAACTAGTTGCAAGTTGCAACACTATTGTTTACTGAAGGCTTTGTTTATTTTTGCATGCAAGGAGTTAAGGGGAAAGAAGAACATTGATAGGATCTGATTATAACTGAAAATGAATTACATAGAAGTTCCATAACCTGCATATTGTTGTATCTGTTAAATGTTTTGTTGCATACAGGACAAGAAAACTGAGTGGGGCCAACAAGAATTTGAGCTGGAGTAGGAATCCAGTATTGTCCTTCAGGAAGAACCCCAAAGTTATGAGCATGACTAGTAGAGCTAGCTTCTGAAGTAGGCAGACCAATATGAAGTGCCACTGTTACACCATTTTCAGCACTAGTCCTAGGGCATTGTTGATAGTTATCCTGAGGTAGTTGGCATGAGGAGTACTCAAAACTACAGTCCAGAAGATTCTTTGAGGTGTTGTTTTGGCCTGGAGGAGCAAGAGAAAGAAGAGTTAAAGAATCATCATCTTGATCATCAGCCTCCAAACTGCCAATCTCATCAGTCTCACCTGATGAAATGTTTGAACAACAATGAATTCTTTGCATGGAGATAAGCTATTGGGTATGAACTTATAGAAGTCGTCGGAAGGCAGATTTTAGGTTTGTGTCATAAGAAATAGGCAAATAAACAAAACTATTTGTTTATATATGGGATTTTGAGAAGGTTCAGAATCTGGGATTTTTGTGGGATTTTGTTGGGATATTAGTATGACAATAGGCGAGAAAGGGCTATAGAGCAAGTGAGAAAGGGATAATAGAGCAAGGAGTAGTGATGACTGATGAGTTTGAAGGCAGAGAGAGTTGTGTTGTGTGTTCTCTCCCTCCACACGTGGAGTTGAAAGATATGAAAATTTGGCTTGTTTAGGGACGGAGGAGACAAGGTATAAGTAAAGGAGGGAGAATTGGGGGGGTAAAAAATACATAGAATTGTGTACCAAAGTAACAGCAAATTTCTCTCTTGCTGTTTCACAGCGTTGCTCGTTTCCCAACTGAGAAGCGAGAACTTTGAGCCCTTGTCAAGTCATATGGGCTTCCTCCTCTTTCATCATCATCTCTCTCTCCCTCTCCCTCTCTCTCTCTCTCACCATTTATGTATTTATGGTTGGATGGATGATTGAGGTGTAGGTGTAAACAGGGAACAAAAGGATAACTGTAGAACTGAACATATTGATCTCTCTCTCTTCTACTTTCGTTATTAAAGGAGGTTTTGATAGAGATGTTTTACAATATAAAGTTGGAAGATGTTACACTGCAGAGAGCAGTCCAGGAAGTCATCTTCATCAAATACACTATACACTAATCCAACCTTTGCCTTCTCCTCAATGATGGTCCTTCATATGCTGTGGTCGCACATTGATTTGATTTCTTATATAAAGCGAAGGTCTGTGACTTGTCCCCAGCGACAAGAGTATACGCACCACCTCCTTAGATATCTCATTTAGTCCAATAGGAAATTGCTACAGCTTGCTATACATGTAAAGATCTACACGTAAAGATCTTTGGTGACCTTTTTGAGTTTGCAAAGTAATTAATCCTCGGATTTCCAACGTTAAGAATCAGTTATGTGCAAGACATCATTTCTACCTTTTGTCGCTAAGCGCCTGCACCTTGATGGGCTGCTGCTCTTAAGAGTATGTGAATGAAGGAGCTATGTATGATACAAAATCAATTAGTTGTCAACAAAGTCAATATTGCCATCTAAAGAAATGTTCCAATTCATTAAGGTGGCTGCATTAGTCCACATGATTTGTCATTCACCATTTATATATTGACAAGAAAATTTTGGTATGATCAAGTCTATATGACTCAATTAACATGCTGGATATAATATTCACACCATAACTCTCACTATTTCACAACTGAAAGTTGTGACGAGGACATCTGTCTTATTACTATTTTTGACATCACTTAATTTTTCGTCCGTGCACTTCCCCTACAAGAGAAGATGCCATTGCATCAAATCTCTTAGCGAGCCATGCATCTTATCGTCACGGATCTAGCTATTCGAAGTTGTGCTCGATATGCAGTCATGCTTCCTCTCTCTATGACTGTTATGCACCACCCTTGGCTATGAGGACCATCTTCAATCAGTGTCCATAGATCGAATAGACTCAAATGGATGGATGTAGAAGAGAAGATGCTTGCCACCATGAATATAATTTTGCAAGCCATTAAGGTGAAATGCTGTCTCTTTGTTCCCCGGCTTGGTCGCGAGTTACACGGAGATACTATCATTTACCTGAACAAGTGAACAATAACCCAACCAAACCACGTATGCAGAAAACCACGTACTAATGCTAATGTCTTTGCTTGGGAATCCTCAAATTGGAGCTCGTAAATAGCAGCATTATACATATGCTAATGTTTTTTGGCACCCGTAGAAATATTCATCTGTGAATTTTCAGCATATAGATAATTAATTATATTGGAAGTCTAGGATTCAAGATCAGTTCTTTTTTTGTTTTGTTTTGGGTTGCTTGCATGTATTGTTGAAGACTCCATTTTCATCCAGGAGAACTAGCAAGCAACTCTGTACGACTAGAATGTGCCACGAGTGCGGGCTGAGGATTAAAGGAGAAATGTGTACTGGGCCAGCCCAGGTTTAGGGCAACAATCTTTGGTTGGCAAACATCTGATTAATCATTCACATTAACTGTTTCTCGTCCAATCCATTGTGATTTCCTCATAGTATCATATGTTTCAAGGAAAAAAAAAAAAAAAGTTCCTCTCCTTGCTCAAGGACACAGCTTTATGCTTCTTTTTCATTAGATAAGCTTGAGAATTTTACATCTTAATTTGTCCTTTCTTTTCTGTTATGTTCTTGTTCTTTTTTTTTCCTTTAGTTCTTTTAATAACTGGGGCTCCATGGATATCTAGCTTAATGTCCTTGCTGCTTCAACTGTGACGAGCGGATTTTTATCTGTTCTTCCGCGTATGTTAAGATTGAGAAGCATAAAATGATGAATTTTTAGTGTATTTGAAAGTAAAACCAGGAAGAAAAAAAACACTACAGAAATTAGACAGACAAAAGGCAAAATTAAAACATTGGCGGCTGGTGGGGCGGTTAAGGGTGGGGTTTGTTTGAGTGATGAAACAGGAAACTGGGGAGCAAATGGAAGTCATACTTGGCATGAGGAAGAAAGGCATGTCCTACTTCTACTTGTGTCACTTAGGTCAAATTTTGAGCTATTAAGCAAACAAGACTGGTGGTCCACCCAAAACTCCTAAATCACTCTTGGGATATAAATTGGTTTTATCAATTTTTGTCCTAGACTTAAATGATTGTTTGTCATCCAACTAGAATTTCAGTGCCCATTACTCTGAACCACTAGTGCTTTGGATAATAATTTGGCTTTTATTGGGGCGGTGGACTTGTGTTTGTGATCCAAATTAACCCAGATATTTTTTTTCCTTTTGAAAAAGCGTTCTCATCAAGTTTTCTTGATTTTGGTTGTTGATACTTTATAAAAGTTCCTTTTTCTTTGTTTTTTGTTTGCCTTTTGTCTTGGATCAGATAGCCATTGACTTAATCCTTGCTTTCTTGTTTTCTTGAATTGTCAAAACAATGCCTCATTGTTTGGCATTTGACGCATTACAAAATCTTCATTGATATTTCCAATTGGAATGTACGGTTTCTTTTCCTCAAACCAGGAAAAGCTTCTTACATCTATGACTATCAGCCATGTTTTAGAGCTTCCTTGGATTTGTCACATCTGAAGAAATACAGGGAAAAATCCCAAAATTTGTGGAAACATGCGAGTTAGTTTATTGATTTGAGGTTGAGGGGGGAAAAAGGACAAAAAGGCAAACATGTGGCAAAAGGTCAAGTTCCCTAGTGGAATACGTAAAGTTTGGGTTAACCTGGCTTCTCTTGGCTAATATCATCCATACGCTCCAATCCATAAGCATAGGTAGGGAATGTGCAAGTATCAGCCTTACCTTAGCAAACATACAATTTCATTCACCCTGAAATATGTGAAGGGCCAAAATTAAGCATGCCTTTTTGTACATATGCTCTACCTTGGGTCCACCTATTGATGTAGCTCCTTAGTTATAAGTGGTTTATCACACTTACTAATTTCTTGATTTTACATAATGAATCCCAGATTTATTTTGTGCGCCTTTTAACCCTAATAGTAACACATCATTTCAGCTGAGTGTGGCTTTCTGAGATTAGTCAGATGGGTAGCATCAGTTGGTTATTTTGACTTGTATGTAATGGAGCTGAGCTGCTGAAGGCCAACAATTAACTTGGATAACTGCCAACAGGATGTTTATAGCATGGTACTAGAGACAAGACAGAAACTAGAAAGACTTTTTATAAGTAAGATAACTGGCAGTGAACTTGTGCAGTAGTTATTTACTTTCAAAATTACTGTGCCTTGGGCCTTTATTCAATCTGTCCATTGCTTATTTAACAGTTCATCATCTTCTTCAAAATAGGCCAGAAAATTGGACACGCCTGTTAATAGAATTTCAATCTTCTTGGACAAAGAATAACCACTAGATATTGGTGGTTCCTGTAGCTCTTAGGATTACAGCTGGTATATGGTCTATTATCTGGAACTTTTAAAACATACGAACTAGTTTTTTCCTGTGAAGGGTCAAAAAAACATGATAAGATGATAATGTTGCTGATTTTGAGATAAGAGTATTCATTTAGAGAAAAAAGTTTTCAGGAATTTTCTGTGGTACCTTCCCTAGTCTAATTTTTCTTGAAAAGTTGCTGCTGGATACCTTGATAGAATTTTAAATTAACTTGGCATTTTGCCTCGGCTGCTCTTGCCTAAGTTTATAGATGGTTTGATTGTGAGCTATGGATGTGGGACAAATGGGTGGAGGACAGTCTGAGAATTGGTCTGTGTTGGTAGATGAGTGGAAGTTTCGGTACTTTCCATCAACAATTCCTACATGATAGTCAGGTTAGGCTTTTTGGTTGCTGCTTCTGTTGCAGCCTATGCGGTCAGGCAGATTAATGTCCAAGCAGGAAAGCCATCGTCTTCTCTAACCAAGGGTTCAGGTAATCTGTTCAGTGGCTTAGTAGTTTTTCACAGTACTTTATTTTACTCAGTGACAATTATAAGTTTGTCACATATGCTGAATTCACAAGAGCAATAAAGGTGCTTTCCACATAAGAGCTTTTTACGAGCAAAGCTACAATGAGCTTCTTAAAGCAAAGCTTTGTCCAAATATGGCTTTCAAATGGACTACTTCCCTCATTTATCGAATTATAAACTTTATTTCTGTTTGTGAGTTTGACCTGGATTGCGTTTCTTGTATCTTTGACTGAATGAAATGGACAACAGAAAGGGGAAATGATCAACAAGCTTGGAGAGAAGGGAAAGACAATGAGCAGTCTCCATATTCCAATGATGGCCTCAAAGAGGTGGTTGTAAGTACTTTGGAAAACCTAATATTTTAATCTTATAGTACTATAGTTTCTTGCAGAAAAATTAGTACTTGTCTTTCTCTATGACCATCAGTAAGCAAAGGATTCACTTAAATTTAGAATTTATTCAGGTTTTAGGTGATATGTGTATGTTTAATGAATTGCAGGTTGACAAGCAGGAGGAGGAAAAGGAGGAAGTTAAGTTGATCAATGGCATCATAAATCCTCCTCCAAGCATTCCATCCAATATTGAAGATGAGATTTTTGCCTGAATTTGAAAATCTTTTATCTGGAGAAATTGATTTTCTATTACCCAGTGAAAAGTATGATACAGCAGCAAGCTCCAAGGCAGAGAGAGACAGAATCTATGAAAATGAAATGGCAAATAATAATAGTGAGCTGGAACGATTACTCAACCTAGTTAAAGAATTAGAGGAGAGGGAGGTGAAGCTTGAAGGTGAATTGCTGGAGTACTATGGGCTAAAGGAACAAGAATCAAATATTGCCGAGTTGCAGAAACAACTCAAGATCAAGACTGTGGAAATTGACATGCTGAACATAGCAATCAACTCTTTGCAGACTGAAAGGAAAAAACTTCAAGAGGAGGTCTCTCAGGGAGCTTCAACTAGAAGAGAGCTAGAGATTGCTAGAAACAAAATCAAAGAACTGCAAAAACAAATTCAACT